GAGGAAAGGGGATTTTTTTTTTTTTTTTATTTGCTTATATCTTATTTATGGATTTACTTTGGACACAGGGGAATGCTGCTGAGCAAACTTCAAATATTACCTTATCTTACAAACCAGGCTTTTGATGTTGGCAAGATCAGAGGCTTGTTTCAGAGCCGTTGCCAAATGAAGATGGGAGTGAATGCATATGCGCATGAGTCTGATATTTCAAAGCAGCAGTAAAACTACATTCAGGTTAGGTCAGGCACATCTGAGTCAAAAGGCTAAGATAATTGGCTCAGCTTAAATGGCAGCTGACTGGGTAGAAGACTTCAAACTAGTGTTTCCCCCAGAAACAGATTGGCTTAGCCCCAGCCTGGTTAGCTGAAATGTTTATAATTAAACTCTACTATTTCGTGCCTAAACTCTGTAGCTCTTCAGCTCGCAGCTTTTAGTAGCCAAGAAAGTGAGTGCAAATGTTTGCTGCTGGAGCAAGGGGAGAGGTGGCACCTGGAGAGCTGGGGTTAACCTTGTCCTGCCCCAAAACCTCTGGCCAAGCTCAGCCTTTTCATTTCAAAGGCACTTGCTCCTGGGCCAGGGCATCAGAGTTCCCCCCACCCTCCCTATCTCTTGCTGTACTGAGCCTGGCTCCGGCTCCATCCATCTGTCCCTGCTGCAGTCAGGGATCACCCGTTGGCCACCCCTTCGACCCTGGTGCTGTCTGTTTTCCCCCTGTTTTAGATGCAAGGCCTAAGTTTAGACCTCGCTCATCAAAGTAGCAGTAAAAGCCCCTCCCCATTCCCCAGGCTGACTTTCCCAGGCTGCTTCCCATCCCAGTGAAATACCTCTTATTTTTTTTTTCCTTTTTTTTTTTTTTTTAAAATTCTGCATTGTTACAAGTTGTAAAACTCTTCTGACAATGCAGGGCTGTAGAAGCAGGGAGTTGGAGGTTTGATGTGGGGCTCTCCAGTGCAACCAGAGGAGTTTTAGGGGGAAGGAGCAGCCTTCGAGAGCAAACCTTAAATAAAAATGAGGAGCCACGCTCTTGGGTCAGGATTGCTTTTCCTGCTCCTTTTCGAGCCACCCTGCCTGGGAATGGCGTGAGTCCCCACTCCTGCTCCATAGCGTGTCCCAGGACTGTCCCTTTGGGCAGGGACAGTCCCCAGGGGCTGGGAGCGTGGGGACATCCCTCCAGGAGATGTTCTCCCAGCTTGGTGACCCCAGCAGAGGGGTTGGGGATGGCATCTCGTGCTTGCAGACCTGGAGGGAGGTGGGGAGCGCGGGAGGGCTGCAGGGCTCCCTGTTGTCCCTTGGTCATGTCCTTGGGTGCCTCGTGTTGAACACGCAGACCTTCAGCTGCTTCCCTGCTCTTCCCCATCTGGCTTCTTGGACTGACATTTGTAGAGGACACCTCCTTTTTTACTGAATGTGTTAATGGGATTAGTCCCGTATGTATGTATGCATGTAAGGTGCTCATCCTGGCGTTTTTATTTACCTTTAAAATGCCTCTTTTACTGGTTATTCCTTATATTGAAGGTCCTCCCTAAGAGAACCTTTTCTCAGTAAGCCTGAGTGAACAAATGCTTCTCTGAAGATACAGATGCTTTGGTTTTTACCTTAGATTTGCTTTTCCCCCATCCTCCCCCAAAGGTAAGGCGTGCCATGTGTCCCAAGCCCTGTCGCCCTGTGGGCTTGTGGAGCAGAAATGCTTGGTGGCCAGCTGTGGTGGCTGGCGTGCGCTGGGCTGCCTCCCCAAAGATGCTCCAGAGCCCCGTGCTGTGCAGTGGGGACATCAGCACAACGAGCTCCTTTTGCTTGTAACATAACGTGCCTTCGTGGACCATGTCTAGAGGAGGCTGATGTTCATCTTGTGGCATTAAGGACTTCCCCCGTGCTCCCAGGGTGCTCTCTTTTATTACAAAGATTTTTTTTCTAAGTTTATTAAGATGAAATTGTTCCGATCTTTCACTCCAGGCTTTGCAGCTTAATCTTGCTCATTAAAACAATTTAATGCCAACTGAGTGCTTTGGCCAAGATTCCCACAAAGGCCTGCAATAGCGTGCTTCAAACCTTGAGCGTGGAGTGATGGCATCTAATCATCCTCCTCCGTAGAAGGGCCCCGGTGTCTCCGGGAAGGCATTACCTTGTGCCTTGTCCCCGGCTGCACGTCCAGAACATGTCGGGGTGTGCCCACCACCGCCGTGGCCGTGGGAGCTGGCACACAGGGACGCCGTGCCACGTTGGCTCCTCTTGCAGCAGCATGTGGCCATCGCTGTCTGCTCAGCCACCGCTGCTCCTCCTTGGGAAGGAACTTTCTCCACTCAGGAGATGAGTCAGATGTGGGGGCAAGTGGTTGAAAGGGACGGGACCGGAGATCAAGGTTCTTCAGCCAGTCTGAGGGAAGGGGTGGAATTAGACATTGAGGGAAGGCGTGGAATTAGACATTGAGGAAAGGGGTGGAATTAGACATTGAGGGAAGGGGTGGAATTAGACATTCAGGATCTCCAGGCGTGCTCTTCCGGCTGTCCCCGCTGTCTGTAGAAGGCTCTTTAATCCTAACTGAGGTAATTTTTTGCGTGGCCAGATGAAAACAGCCCGCGTTGCCTCGAGCGGGCTGTGCAGGGTGCTGTTCCCACCAGCGCTCCTCGCTCGGTCTCTTCTCATGGCTTCTTGGCCATGATCCGATGTGGCCAAAGGGAGCGACATCGTGCCCGGAAGGTACGGCCCGGCTTTGCTCATGCCTCGTGGTGGCCTGCCTGTGCCGGGCAGCCTCGGGGCAGAAGAAACATCCCAGCTCTTAAGTAGGGCTGGAGATGGGGAGCAGCCTTTTGCTGACCGTCCATCTTCAGCCTCTGCCTTCTTGTTTCCACTGTGCCAACACTCCAAGGGGTGTTCCAGAGCTTGAGGAAAGTTGTGGTCTTAGAGAGTGTAATTCAGTGTCTTAGAGAGTGTAATTCAGTGGTGAAAAAGCAACAGAAAGAAGGGGAAGAAGCGGAAACCTAGCACTGGGAGGGCCTTTCTGTAAGGTCCCTCAGAAGTGAAGCTGATGGGATCTTTAGGTGGAGATCCCATGCAGAGTTGCCTTCAGCTTGCTTTTCAGCTTTTGCTTAATGACTGCACATCCATGGAGATGGTGACACAGACACTTCCCAAGCTGCCAGATGTTTGGAGCTTCAGGTGACGTTCAGAGGGCTCAGCACCTCTGGGAACGTAGGCCTGTGGCGTGCCCGGGTGGTTTCAGCGGTGATGGAGAAGCATCTTGGTTAGAGCATGGGGAAAGCCCTGACTGATGGTGACCTCTCTTCCATGTGCAGAGATGGGATCCCCCCGTACCGAATTGGGAGCAAGAAGCAGCTCCAGCGGGAAATGCATCGGAGTGTCAAGGCCAACGGGCAAGTTTCTCTACCTCATTTTCCGGTAAGTTCAGGTGGGAGCTGCATGTCCTGGGATGGCCGTGGGAAATGCTGGGGCCTGGAATGGGCCCAGGTGGAGGGAGGGGAGCAGGGGAGGAGAGCGTTTCCACCCCTGCATGATGCCAGAGAAGAGATGCTGCTCGGTGTTGGGCAGGAGCCATGTGCTCTCAGCATCCCTGCAAACACCTGCGTGTGTACAGTCACATTTTGGTCCTTCCCTGAAAATCAGGTGCTAATTAGGGCTTTTCAATTTTTTTCAATTTGTCCTCCTGGTGTAAATCCAAGCAGAGATGCCCTGGTTGGGTCTAGTGAGAGCCTTGGCTCTGGCCACCACCCTGGCACCTCCACAGGTGCCGAGCAGACCGGGGCTTGGCCTCAGGCCTGTCACCAGCATCCTCCCAAAGCTCACTGTCTGTAAGGTGGTGGGAAGCAGGATCTCCCAAAAGAGACGTTTGCAGCAGATACGTGCCTTGCTCTGAGGGGATCCAATTCGTGGCCTTGCCATGCTCTCAAAAATTAACTCACCGACTTGCTAATTCAGTTGACTTGCAGACTCCTGATTCCTGCAGTGAATAAACTGTTTACACAGACAAGTATAAACTTATCTTGTCCTTAGATTAATATGCTAAAATTCTTCTTTCTGCTGTCTTAAGCAGCAAGAAATCATAGATGATATTTCTGGTGTGTGTGGGGGGTGGTTTATGTGGTTTTTCTTTTGGGTATTTTTTTTTTTTCCCCCTTCCTCCCTAAAGAAAGTTCTATAGCCTGAGCTTGTAAATTAGATTATTTTGTCCCAGGGCGTGCAAATCGACTTTCTCTGTAAGGCAGTGCTTTGATCAGGGACTGAATAGAGCCAGCTTGTGTAAGAGTGACAATTTCCAGCAGAGTGGCCTTTTTCTACCCTCACATCATTTCTGGAGCTAAGTGGTTGCCGGAGAGAGGCCCCACCTCATCTGGTGGGTAGTATGTGAAAGAGTTGGCAGTTCAGCTTTCTGCTTTCAGGGGGAAAAAAAAAAAGAGGGAGAGAGAGGGATAGTGGGGGCGAGGAGTGGGGTGCGTGGGGGTGGCAGGAGGGAGGGCAGAGTTGGGTGGGTGGTTTCTTTTTCCTCTTTTTTTTTTTTTTTTTTTTTTT